TGATGACTACATTATTAGAAACATATACCATTACTGTTCTGATGAATACATTATTAGAAACATACACTATTACTGTTCTGATGAATACATTATTAGAAACATACAATTTTACTGTTCTGATGAATACATCATTAGAAACATACACTATTACTGTTTTGATAAATACATTATTAGAAATATACAACCTTACTGTTCTGATAAATACATTATTAGAAACATACACTATTACTGTTCTAATAAATACATTATTAGAAACATACACTATTACTGTTTTGATAAATACATTATTAGAAATATACAACCTTACTGTTCTGATAAATACATTATTAGAAACATACACCATTACTGTTCTGATAAATACATTATTAGAAACATACACCATTACTGTTCTGATAAATACATTATTAGAAACATACATCATTACTGTTCTTTGTTAATGGATCGAGAATTCTTACTGTGACACATTGTTAGGAACATGTATCATTACTGTTCTTCATTAATGGATCAAGAATCCTTACTGTGACACATTGTTAGGAACATGTATCATTACTGTTCTTTATTAATGGATCATGGATTCTTACTGTGACACATTGACAGGAACATGTATCATTACTATTCTTTATTAATGGATCAAGTATTCTTACTGTGACACATTGACAGGAACATGTATCATTACTATTCTTTATTAATGGATCAAGTATTCTTACTGTGACACATTGACAGGAACATGTATCATTACTATTCTTTATTAATGGATCAAGTATTCTTACTGTGACACATTGACAGGAACATGTATCATTACTATTCTTTATTAATGGATCAAGTATTCTTACTGTGACACATTGTTAGGAACATGTATCATTACTATTCTTTATTAATGGATCAAGTATTCTTACTGTGACACATTGTTAGGAACATGCATCATTACTGTTCTTCATTAATGGACCAAGAATCCTTACTGTGACACATTGTTAGGAACATGTATCATTACTATTCTTTATTAATGGATCGAGAATTCTTACTGTGACACATTGTTAGGAACATGCATCATTACTGTTCTTCATTAATGGACCAAGAATCCTTACTGTGACACATTGTTAGGAACACGTATCATTAATATTCTTTATTAATGGATCAAGTATTCTTACTGTGACACATTGTTAGGAACATGCATCATTACTGTTCTTCATTAATGGACCAAGAATCCTTACTGTGACACATTGTTAGGAACATGTATCATTACTATTCTTTATTGATGGATCGATAATTCTTACTGTGACACATTGTTAGGAACATGTATCATTACTGTTCTTCATTAATGGACCAAGAATCCTTACTGTGACACATTGTTAGGAACATGTATCATTACTATTCTTTATTGATGGATCGAGAATTCTTACTGTGACACATTGATAGGAACATTAAGTATATGAAGCTGTATATGTTTTATTAACTTCTGCATTTAAATTCGATGACGAGGAACCCACTTACAAAATAATAATGGCTGGAGAC